TATAATAGATTGTGGAAACCATTGATAAATATAATTAATAATGATAATGTCTAATTTGGCCCTTACTGTAGATAATAAATTTTAGATAAATTGTTTATGGATTTAACCTTGTCTTTGTGTGTGTACGTTTATTATAAAAATAGAATAGTATTTGCCAATTATCAATTTTTATGTATGACTTAAATATATGTATTTTGTAAATGTGTAGTTTTTTACATATTATATAGATGCATTTTTATTGTAAAAATAGAACAGTATTTGCCAGTGACTATTTTTTTTATGGGTAGAATTTAGTAATACCTACTAAATTAATCATATTGTACAATGGTGACTTATAATTGTTGCCAAATTTCCCATCGCCGTGAGCAGGTGCTCTATGTTTCCTGAACAGTAATGTGACTTTTTTGGGGGACTAAGTGTATGGCTGTTTTGTGTAATGTGCTGGGTAGTTGAAGTATATTGACCAGCCACTCCAGTAGCCAGCCCTGGTTGTCAGGAGACTCCTGACATTTTCTGTTACTCGAGGGCTAAGACGAAGGTTCTGGAGCCTGAGCTGGGTTTGTGTCTCAGCTCTGCCCTTTGCAGTTCAGGAACTGGCACTGGGTGAGCACCTCACCCTTTGGAGCCTCCCCGTGAAATTGGGACAATCACAGTAGATCTCAGAAGTTTGCTGAAAGAGGAAAATTTAAAGTTCTCTGTTCACTCATGGACATCTGCATAGTAAGCAGTAAGCATGCAGTGTTATCCATGATTAAAATATGTTCTCAGTGATAAATAGCTGTTGCTGGTTATTTGGAAATTCAATAAAAGCATAAAAACAGAATAGAGTTTCTACTGCCTTCAAGTCAGTATTTAATGTCTTGGTGTCTCCCTTGTTTTTCCTTCACTTGATGTGGATACTTATTGTCTGCATAAGTACCAATACCCTAGAGAATACTTTATATCTGATTGTTTCTCTTCACATTCCATGTGAGCAGTTTTCCAGTTGTAAAAAAAAAAAGAATTAATTTTGAGTACTTGAATAGTGTTCTTTTTTTTTTTATTGTATTGTTTTTACGTGTACCATCAAATCAGATCTGACTGGTACAGGAGGAGATTGCCCCCCTCCTTCTCCAGCAGCGCATCTGGTGGATTTGCACCATGTACCTCTGGGATTGCAGTGCAGCATCTTGCCACTAGGCCACCAGAGCTCCCTTTGAATAGTGTTCTTTTTTAAGTAGATAACCTTGCTTTTAGATGTTTAAGGGTATTCCCAAATTCTGATTTCATAATGACGATGGGTATCTCTGATGACAGCTCAAATTAATTGATAGGCTAAGTTTGTAGAGATTGTGTTGAAGGAGTTCCTGCTTGTAATATTTTTGTGAAGTGAAGGTTTACACAACGAACGAGGTCCCCGTTTAACAGCTTACACGGATTGTGCGGTGGCTTTGGTTACGGCTTTCCCATCGTGTCTGTTCTCATTCTCTCTACTCTGTTCTGTTTCCTTTGGTTATCTTCTCTTTCTTTCCTTGTTTTCTCATCTTAGTTTTTGGTAAACATTGATCTTCCAGTCTCATGCACTTGTTTATGGTGCACCTTCTTCTTCTTGTTGTTAGATGCTGGAGAGTACAAGTCATAATGACCCAGTGAAAACATCTGAACCCTGCCTTATCCTGGAGTTGATGACCTAATGTATTGATTGGCTGAAAGTTAACCTCTAGGAATGGTTTCACTTCTAGGTTGAAAAGGGCACTTGTCTTGGGGGTTCCTCCTGTCTCTGTCAGCCCGTTAAGTCTGGTCTGTGTAATGAGTTTGAATTTTGTTCTAACTGGGACCTTCTCTTGTGTCCTGATCCGAATAGCCATTAATGGTAGCTGGGCACCATCTAGTTCTTCTGACTCGGGTTAGAAGTTGTCGATTGTTGTGATGTGTCATCAAGTGGGAACTGACTCATAGTTGACCCTCCAGCCGGTTTTCAGAGGCCATAAATCGAATGGGAAGAAATTGCCCATCTTTCTCCCACAGAGTAGCTGGTGAAGATGGATTTGAACTGCGTGCCTTTGGGTTGCAGTGCAACTCCTTACCCTCTAGGCCACCATAGCTCTCCTTCGGGTTATAAATGGTAAAGATGTTGATGTTTTGGGCTCCTGACATTTGGTGAAGTTGACTTCCAGGGAGGTGTTAGTTTCAGGATTCTTCAGCAGTTTTAGAGTCTCCTCTCCGAGGTCCTCCCCAGTGTTGTGTATGGTTAATTTTTTAAAGGCAGAGAGTGATGTTTATTTCCGTTGCCATCTATGCTCTTTGTGAATTAGAAACTTGTTTTCTTGATAGCATTTTTTTTTAACATAACTCAGTTTTATTTCTCTTGTCAGCATTATTGGAATTTGTGTGTGTTCATGTCTGCTTTCCATTGGTATTTCAAGTCTGAAGTTTTCCTTATCTGTTCTGTGAGCTCTTTTTTCTTTTTTCTCTTTTTAATTTTTTTTCTCTTTTTTCTTCTTAAATAAATTTTTATTTTTTACTGGTTTGCTTACACAGGTCATATACATTGTTTTTTACATGTTCTATGAGCCCTTAAAATTAAAAAAAAATCAACAACACTTAAAATGTTCATTATTTAAGTATTTGCAACATATACTATAGTGAAAGTGTCTTTTTGCTTTCTAGATTCATCATTTTTTGGATTTTGTAAAACAAATATACAAAGAGCTTCCTAAAGTAGTGGTAAGTGATTTTATATTGCTAAAATTTATTAGTCACATTTATTACTTTCTCATTCCAGAGGAATTGGAACAGTTGGATTATTAGGAACATCTGAGTTGAAGGAGGAAGGGGGATGTTAATTTTAGCCTGGAGAATGCTTGTTGTTGTTGTGTGTTGTCTAGTCAGTCCCACCTCACAGTGAGCTGGAGGACAGTAGAATAGCCCGCCGGGGTTTCCATGGCTGTCAGACCTTTAAGGCACAGACTGCTTCATCCTTCCCCCATAGAGCAGCTGGTAGATTCGAACTGCTGACCTTTACATAAGCAGCCCAACACTTACCCCACAGCCACCATGATTCCTTGAACTCATGGAGTCGTAAATTTAAAGTAAAGCTGTCAGCAGTGTGAAATTTTCTTTTAAAAAGTGGGACCTTCTTTGGCCAGGGTTTTAAATTTTTCTTTTGTTGGAGGTGGCGAACGTTGGTCTTGTCATACCATTTTTTTTAATGGCCCTGTGTGAAAAGTGAGCCTTCGGTGGGTGTTGGGTTTGGATAGGTACAAGCCCTGGACCTTTCTGTACGGACTGGATATGAGAGAGCTGGCCCACCCCACAGGGTCGTGCACAAGGATGAGGTTTCTTTAAGCACCAGTTATGCATAATTAAGGCACTTTCCGGCATCAAGTTTTAGATGGGATTTGTCTTTTTGCTGCAAACGACTTCTTAATTATTTTTAATTGAGTGAAGATTTCCAAATCATACACTCACTCGTACACTTTTTATTTTGCAACATGAGTGGCCATTGATGAGTGTAATTAATTAAATACAATGTTTAACCAGGGAGTTTATGTATCACAGAACACGGGTGATGTATCAAGGGACAAGTATGACTGCAGGAAACACAGTGTCAGTCTCTTCTCTTCCCGCAGAACCGCTACTTCGAGAACCCTCAGGTGATCCCGGAGAACACGGTCCCCCCTCCTGAAATGGTGGGCATGATCACCACCATCGCGGTGAAGGTGAACCCGGAGCGAGAGGACAGCGAGACGAGGACGGTGCGTGGCCCCCGGCACTCGGCTCAGCTCTCCGGCTCCCCTGTACCTGGTGCAGAGGGCGGTGGCTTCCTTAGACCTCCGCAGTCCGTCCACAGTCAGGGGCCTTTGTGCTGAATGAACAGGCGTGTTCGCGTAGCCAGCCTGGACGTGACAAGGAGCTGTTTTCGCTTTGGGGCAGAGAAGCTCAGTGGTGATGGAAATCCAGATGAGCCCGTGGACAGAGCCGGCCAGGCCCAGGGCTGCTGCTGTGTTCTCACTTCTCAGTTGGCTGGTCCTAATGATGCCCTGTTACCTGCTGACTTCTTAAAAATGTTTTATTGCTGCTGTCGAGCACCCACAGCAGAACACACCCCCGTTCACCAATTTCTCCACACACGATGAGTTCACTGACGTCAGTAATACCTTTTGGGTTGACCTGTTGTTCTCATCTACCCTGGCACAGAGACCCCCCCCCCCCGTTAGCATAAGCCCACTGCTCCCTAAGATTCCTGTCGAACCTTTGATCCCATATAGATAGCCAGTGCCCTTGAGTTGATTCTAACTCACAGCAACCCTATGAGATAGAGTAGAACTGGCCCATGGGCTTTCCAGGGCCTTTAGAGAAGTAGACTGCCCCTGTCTTTCTCCTCAGGAACAACTGGTGGGTTTGAACTGCTAACCTTTATGTTTGCAACTCAAGCCTAAAGACCCTGTTCCATCAGGACTTCTCTCTCTATAGCTCTCTAAAAGCACATGGTGTGCAGACAGACATAACAAAGTCCTTTTAAAAGCTGTGTGCATTTGTATTTCGGAGCCTGTGGGGATGGGGTGTTTTGTGGGGCAGAGGGCACTGGAGTGACATCCCAGTGATTTGCTCAGTATCTAAAAAGCTGTCTCATGGTTACTAGTGACAGTGATGGCCTGTGGGTAACACAGTAAGCGTGCCGTCACACTGCTGTGATTTGTGAGATAAAGGTATTGTCAGCATCTGACTTTGCAGACTGTTTCCATTTCCAAACTACATTTTGCGTAAAGCTTCTAAAAGGATGCTGTTCATGTCACCACCTGTTGTTTTCTCCAGTAAATAAAATGATGTTAGGATTTCTGAAGTGGTTTGAATCGCTAAATTTGGACCAGTTTTCTTGTATTGCAAATTGGCCGAACACTTCCATTAAATTATACCCGTTTGGCTCTTTGTCTGCAGGTGTTTGCAAATGCGTGTCAGTGTTTGACAGGGTGTGTGGTGCTCAGTGGTGGGTTGTGCTTTGAACTGTTGTAGGTGTCACAGTGCTGACCCCGAGGTCTCTTTCTGTCTTGCAGCACTCCATCATCCCCAGAGGGTCACTGTCTCTGAAGGTTTTAGCAGAATTGCCCATCATTGTTGTTTTAATGTATCAGGTACGTCTACTGCTCATTGGTTTCTTGGGGTTTTCATAAAGCTTGTTCCCTGGCGGCGTCATTCGCGGTTAGCTTTCTGGTGGTCATGTACGAGGATATATTATGCTCACAATAGGCTCAAAGTTCCTTTGCTGTGCCCTGTTACTGTGCTCTAGCCAAATGTAAGTGTTTGACTATCTGATGTGTTTGCTTTTAGCTCTACAAGTTGAACATCCACAATGTGGTTGCTGAATTTGTGCCTTTAATCATGAATACTATTGCGATTCAGGTATCTGCACAAGCCAGGTAAGATTTCTCAGAGCAGCGACGAAGCTGGCCACCATGGTGTCATCTTTCCAAGTCAATGTGCACATTGTCTGTGGTTTTAAGACTTGATTTATGGATGATAAAATTTTGGTGAAAATATATGCGATTTTTGACACTTTGATTTTGTTTTTCCAATGATGATAACTATACAACGCTTTTATTATGAAAAGATGGAATCATATTTTAGTTTGGGGTCACTTGCTTGCCATACTCTAATGGCTTTTATGTTGCTATGATTCCTGGAAGTTAAAAGCCAGGTACCAGCAGGGTCACCCATGGTAGACAGTTTTCAGCAGAAATTCCAGACCAAGAAGTAGGGCTGACCATGCACTGCTGATGTAGCAGGCCCTTGAAAACTGAACAGTGGTGCAGTACTGTTAAGTATAGTGCCAGAAGATGCACAGGATAGAGCAAAGTTTTGATCTGTTGTTCCTAGGGTTACTGAGTTGTAGTTGACTTGATGGCACTTAAAAACAAAATCAGAAATGTCTTTGAGTATTGTGAGGTTCACTTTTCGGGGGCATTATATTTTCTAGGATACCCAAACCTTTCTCACTTTAAAGCTGTGTGTCTTGCAGTTGATTTTAGCACAGGTGCTAGAATGTTTCATTTCACCTGGCTTTGCTGTAAAAGGAGCAGATGTAATGTGGGAGTGGCTGAGTCTGACTTGTGCCCACTTCATAAAGGAAGAGTGTCTCCATCAATAATACCCGTAGCATCATACAAATAGCTCTGTGGTCAGACATGCCACCTCACATGCTCTTGCACTTAGGAATCATTGGTTCCAATGTTTGTTGCAGCTTGACTCACAGATTTTACTTCGAGTTGTGGGGTTTATTAGGGAATTAGGTTGGAAAGTGAGGGAGGCAAAGAATACCACAGAATGGAAGGCCAGGTTCAGTCCAGCTGTCCCAAACCAGATTAACAAGGAACAATTCCTCAGTTAGTTAAAAGTGCAGGTTCATAGAGCTCTGGTGGCCTAGTGGTGGGAAGCTGCACTGCAATCCCAGAGGTGCACGGTTCAAATCCACCAGATGCTGTGCTAGAGAAGGAGGGACAATCTCCTCCTGTACCGGTCAGATCCGATTTGATGGTACACACAGAAAAATAACAAAAAAATAAATAAATAAATTAAAAATAAAGTGCAGGTTCAGTTCAGCAACATAAATACAAGAAGCCTCTAGTTTCCTCAGTCATCTAGCAAACTTTATCTCAGAGCAGTTATAAGTCAGCTTTTCAATCATCTAATGAATAAAACCTTAAACTGTGACTCCGTCTCCAGGGTTCCTCTGGTTACACAGAGCCACAGTCTCTTCATCCTCTCTCCACCACTGTATTTCATTGTGTGGAAAGTGCTTTCTTATCTTGGTCCCACAGCTGTTGATGATTTGTAAGACCATACCCCCAGTGGGGGCTAATGCAGTGGATAGAAAAGCCTGTTTGCAAGGTTTCTGACACCACCTCTGCCCTCACCTGTCAGTCTGGATCTGAGCAGTTAGCTGGTGTCATCATCCTCTGGATCCTGTCAGTGAACCTGGCTGCTCCTGATTGGCAGCCTGTCAAGCTCCGAGCAGCTCGAGGGCACCGGAGGAGGAATAATTACTACCAGCACCCTGACCTCTGTCAGGGGTATACACCAAACCAGTGTCCTCACTAAAACTCGTGACTGGGTCGATCCTGCCTGGGTGTTCTGGGATTCACGTGGTAGTTGCTGTGGTATGGTCTGGAGGATGGTTTTGCTGATGACTTTTTTTTTCCCTATAATTATATTTTATTAATTTTCATAAACATTTACAGAGATTTTGGGCTTCCACTCATTCATTGTTGCACTATTCTCTCTACCCTCCTCCCAGTTTGTTCTTGTCCAAATGCCACAGTGCTTGTCAAAGCCAGTTCTGATTAATCTTCTTTGTCAGTGTGTCCTTTGCCATTCCCTATCACTCCTCCCTGAGAGAGACTTCACCCTGAGTCATAAGGGAAAGGGGATGGCGTATTCTCTTAGCTACTTCCTGCTGAAAAGGGACGCTGTGCGTTTCAGGGTGAAGATCTTCTCTCACTACTCTAAAGGGCCCCTTTGGCAGTAGGAAACACATAGACTATTATGGAGATTGATTTTGGGATTTAGATGCACTCTTATTGATTGTGCTTGGCCGTACATGTTCATATCGTTGAAGATGTATCATGGGGGTGTTGCAACCTAGAAGACACAAATTTGACTAACAAGTTATAAGTACATGAGTCAAAAATTATGGAAAAGTAAAAGAGAAGATTCTTTCATTGTTTTACAAACCCTCCCCCAGGTCCCCTTCACCATGTAGCCCTCGCTCTAGTGTCCTGTGATGACAGAAATACCCAGTTATATATCTCTTTTAAACAGTTTTCTCCCTCCTCTGTTTCAGTGCAGTATACATTATTGAACCCATCTTACTCAGTCTCTCCCCAACCCCAAGGACAGTCCCATTCTACAACAGTGGCATCATGTAATATTTGTCCTTTTGTAACTGGGATATTTCACTCAGCATAATGTTCTCCAGAGTCAACCATTTTGAATAATATTGCATGAGTTCCTTGTTTTTTAATGCAGCATAGTATTCCATTGTGCGAATATACCACAGCTTATCTAGCCATTCGTTTGTTGATGGTTTGCTGATGACTTTGAAACCTTCTGCACTATCTGGGACTGCTGTCAAGTGTTGGTGTCCATGCTGTTGTAGCCACTTTGTTGCAGTTCCTGTACCTTGTATTTGTTTCACCCACAGAGTTGTATTTGTTTCACCCACAGAGTATGTGAGTATGTACACTAATGTTGTGATTTTGTTTTTTCCTTTCTCATTCAGGCAACATAAGCTCTATAACAAGGAGTTATATGCTGACTTCATTGCTGCTCAGATTAAAACATTGTCATTTTTAGCCTATATCATCAGAATTTACCAGGTAGGCTCATTTTTTGTGATGGAAGTTGAGTCGTGAGGTGACCTTTTCGTGCACTCAAATTTGCCTTTTGTGCGAATGCCGTTCTGTGACTTGACAGCTGTATACGGTTGGCTGACCCTTTCTGCCACCAGCAGAGTTCCTGTGTATGTTAGTCAGTCATGTCGTCCTCTTGTCAAACCGCAAAACCAGTACAGCTGTCGAGTCCTTTCAAGCTCAGGAACCACGTGTGACGGAGGAGACCTGCCCTGTGGGGTTTCCACAGCTGTAACCTTTACGGGAGCAGGTCACCAAGGCTTTCTCCAATGGAGCTGCTGGTGGCTTCGAACCACCAAACTCTGTTAGCAGCTGAGTCCTTAATCACTGCACCAACACAGCTTCTGCCTCTGATTCGTGCTTAGACCTTTTTGCGAGATGGTTATAAGTGTACCTGGTGTTATTTATTACTTCTGTTAAAGAAAGAATAACTTTTTTCAGGTATTGCACTCTCTCTTGTGCTCAGTAATCTTTATTTACTGTTAAAAAGGTGGAAAATATCGACACCAAGAGAATAGCTATAATCCCACCACGGGAGAGTAAATACTGCTTTGAGCAGGGTTCTAGTGTAGATAGCGGATGCCTTTCTGGTGTGGCTGTGTGCATACAGTGTACTGGACACACCCACACATACTTCACACAGTCTGTTAGGCCTCTGGCTGTGCAGGGTCCTGTGCACCATGTCCAGTTTTCCTGGAATTATTACACGACTGACTGTTGTATACTGTCAAGTTGGAACCGACTTACGGGCGACCCTCCAGCGTCTTGTCAGAGGCTGTAAATGACACAGGAGCTGATGGCATCTTGCTCCCGCAGAACAGCCAGGGGATTCAAACCGCCTGCCTGTAAAGCTTCTAAGATGGGCTTTTCATGCCCTGTACCAGTGAACGTAACAGTCGTTTTAACGTTTGTGTTTTCAGGAGCTGGTGACCAAGTACTCTCAGCAGATGGTGAAAGGGATGCTGCAGCTGCTTTCCAATTGCCCAGCGGAGACCGCGCATTTAAGGAAGGAGCTGCTGATTGCTGCAAAGCACATTCTCACGACGGAGCTGCGGAACCGTACGTCCTCCTCCTGAACGCCTGCTCGGGTCCCGTTGTCATCGCTCGCAGGGGTCGGGGGGTTAGCTGACGGGTGTGCGCAATCATCAGCCCGTTCACGTATTTAACCCCACGTGCGTCCTTTCTGCTTCTCTCCCTGCATCCCTCTCCCTGCCTGCCTTTGTATCTCTGTGCCTCTTCCCTCGGATCCCGGGGGCTCCTGTAGCTTCTCTCAGTCTCACGGTTCACGGGCTGATGTCTTTACCGCAGATCATCTTCCCAGGGTTTCTCACCGTTTTCTGCCTTTGACTGCCTCTTGCCGTTCCAAACGGCCCTTGACTCGCTCTCTTCCTGGCATCAGTCTTTCAAAGAAAACAGGGTTGTTGTGTTTGGGTTTTTTTGCCTTTCCATCTTTATCTTCGTGGTGTGAAAATGATGGCTTGGCTCTGTTTTTATGTCCAAGGCTGGTCCTTGCTTTCGTTTCAGTGCTGCTCTCTGCAGCCTTGTGCCAGAACGTTGGGTTGAAGTTACACAGCCGCTGTTTGGAGGTGACCATGCTGCCCCCCTCAGTATGAAATGCTTCATTGGCTGTTGATTTGTACATTAGAGCACATAACAGGACTGAGCCCAGATTACCTTACAGAGTTGCTGAACATGAATCATGTCGTTTGAATGTTTACACACAGCGTTGTCGGGCCTTATTAAGAGGATTCTGACCTGGCGGTTCCCTGTGATGGAGGAGATCGGTTCTGTGCGGTTTTCTCAGTAACTGTCTTCACAGAACAGATCATCAGGTGTTTCCTACACAAAGCTGTGGGGGGGACTTGAACCGCCACCGTTTTGGTTGGCAGCTGAGTGCTTACCCATTGTGCCTCCAGTTAATACAGTAGCCTCCAGATAGCTCTGTGCTGTTAAAACACAAGCTGTAGCATGGTGAAGGCACACAGATACAACTGGAAGGAATGTAAACCCTTCAAACCTTTCAGTTGATAGTAATACGTACCCCAAAGTGTGTAGAGGAAACAAGTGATCGCACCAAAACTCAGAGCAAACGCCTGCATCAGCTCCTGGTGGCTGGGAAGTGGGGCCACCAGTCCTGGAGGAGCTCTCAGGCCCCTTCTTGGTCACAGCACCCCCAACCTCGAGTACACCCACAGCTCCCTTTGGTCCTGTGAGGCTGAATTCAACCTTTAGGAGCTTTGTTAAACCACTTTACTGGTTGCCTTTAAAAAGTCTTTTCATGCTTATTTAAATGGCAGTTTATCAGAAGGCGGAAATAATTCTTAGGACTTAGATACCAGGATTACATCTCAAAATCTTTTTTTTTAAAAAAAGTCTTAAAGAAGCAGTTAAGAAACCACATTAAATATGAACTTCATCCATTGCCATTGAGTCAGTTCTGACCCACAGAGTAAAACTGACCCTTGGGGTCTCCAGGGCTGTAGGTCTTTGCTCACACTGTCACCTCTTTCTCCCATGGGGTCAAACCACAGTCCTGTTTGTTGGGTAGCAGCTGAGAGTTTAACCACTTTCTCCCCAGGGTTCCTAAATGTTAAGTACAGCTCTCAGAACATAACAGATTTATGTGTATAGGTGGAAACACACACCCTTAGCTTTTCACATCGCCTGACTCTGGCCTTTGAAGTGACTGTCAAGTCGTAAACCATTTGTACTGCCTCTTAAAGCAGCAGTTTGAAACCTGCTTGTTAACGGAATTGCCCATTTTCTGAGACTCTGGTTCACATGGAGGTTCTGGAGAGCCGTGCTGCTTCCTCTGCCTCTGCCTGCTGCTCGTGGCTTCTCTGGCCCCTGGCGTTTTGCCGTCTGTGCTCTCTTGTTCCTTCTGCCTGTTTCCATGGAGCCAGTCGAGGCGCATTCCTCCCTGGGACAGCAGCGAGGGCTGCTGGATGCTTCCCTCACCTGGCGTGTCCTCCTGCGCTGCCTCGTGTCTGGTGTGCTGTTAGGTGCCGTGGAGTAAACACTGACGCACAGCGACCCTGTGAACAACAGAACAAAATCCTGCCCAGTCCTCCTCCGCCCTCACAGCCTGCTGTGTCCGAGCCCATTGCCGGTGCCCCTGTCGGCCCATTGCATGAAGGGTCTTCCTCCTGTTCTCCGACCTCCGCTTTACCAAACCTGAGGTCCTTCTCCAGGGCCCCGCCCCTCCGGATAATGTGCCCGAGGTTAACCAAAAATGCACAGTGTGACGTGTCAGTAGTCAGATTTCTTCACAGCTTTGACCTTCGTTAGATGTTTACTGGGGAAGAGCTGTGCTTTGAGTTACTGAAACTGATTATATGTCAGGCTGGTTCTGGAATCTCAGTGCCCGTTGGCACATCTGTGGCCTGGGTGACAGAAGTATAGAGGTGGAGCCCCAGAAAGTGCATGTTGCCCCTGTCTGTCAGCACAGCCCCAGGTATGTAAAGTGTCAGGGGGGTTACCAGCTGCCCCTTTCCCATCAGGCCTGTGGGGCAGCGAGCGGGGAGGTGGTGATGGTCATAAATACAAAATCCGAGGGAGAGAGAGGAGTCCAGTGAGCTTCCATTTAGTCTCATCCCGGTACTCAGAACCATAACCCAGGATCCACCTGTGAGCCCACTAGAGTGGTTCCCAAACCTTTGTAACGTATCTATGATAAAACAATCTGTTTCTTCATTATTATTAACAATCAAACAATAAAGGCTATTACCATTTTGTTGATTTCGACCCAAAGTAACCCTGTTGGACAGGGAAGGACTGCCCCGTGGGGTCCGTCCCCAAGGATGTCGGCCTTTTCAGAAGCAGAGTGCCACCTCGTTCTCTGGAGCCAGCTGGTGGGTCCAAACCATCAACCTTTCAGTTGGCTAAGTGCTTAACCACTGTGCCACCAACGCTCCTTGAAGAAAAGAGAGTCTGAAGAGTAGAGAAAGGAGGACTTGGGAGAGAGTCCCCTTCGTCAGGGAAGACTGCACGAGCAGTGCGGCTTTTTACCAGAACCAAGCCCACTGTTGTCAGGTCACTTCAGTGACCTTACAGGGTTCCCAGGGTTAAGTGACCAGACGGTTCCCAGGACTACATGTGCATCTTTACGAAAAGAGGCTGTTTCATTGTTCTCCCACAGAACAGCTGGTGGCTTTGAACTGCTGACCTTTATGTTAGTGTCTCAACACTTAGCCTGCGGCACCACCAAAGCTCATTGATGGCTTTTAAAGGCAGGGAGATGGGTCAGAAGGTACCTCCAGTTTAGGTGCTGGGGAAGCAAGTTCTCCGTTGGGACACAAAGCTCGCTTTTTCTTGATTTGTGGCCTGGCGCCAGAGGTTGTCCTGGCCACACTTGGACAGCAGGTGCCTTGTGTGGCTCAGCGAAGTCGGTGCCAGCCAGACTCAGCGTGTTCTCTGTCCAGTCCTCTCTGCCGGTTAAAACCATGATTCCCTGGCTGACGGCGGACCTCCCTCCATAAGAGCCCTGTTACGGCTTTTTCTTTGCGCCTGGTTCTGCTCATGTGTGTGTGTTTGTATTGCAGAGTTCATCCCTTGCATGGACAAGCTGTTTGATGAGTCCATCCTCATTGGTTCAGGATACACGGCTCGGGAGACCCTGCGGTATGTGATTCCAGCCCAGTCTCTCTAGTCACCCAGACACCAGGGCTGCAGTTGGTGTTCTGAGGGTTTTAGCACAAGGTGTCTTGGGCCTTTATTTCTGGCTGAATTAATAAGGGCAGGGATTTCTAGGGAGGTTTGCCTGTGCCTTTCCATAGAGGGAAAGGCGAGATGTTGCTCTGACTTAAATTGCAAGTAGAATGTCCTTTTACTTTCAACAGCTTTTGTGCAGTCACACTCACACACACACACACACACGCGCGCGCGTTGTTGATTGCCTTTGAATCAAGCACGACACATAGTGAGTGACCCTATATAAATATATAATTTGACATGTCAAGAAGAAACAAGGAAAAAACCTTACAGTTTTACATAAAGAGATCAAATGGCTGGTGAAGACTTTGGTGTATTTTCTTCTCATCGTTGTTTCTTAGGATTTTTGAAAAAGAAAACATCTTTATGATTGTATTCACTTTTTTTAAAGGAAAAAGCAAGTATTTTACTGTTTTTTTACTACCTAAAATGAAAGCGCATGAATAATTTTTTTATTCCACTAGGGTGATAGGGAGCCTGGGTAAGGGATATGCTGCCACCTCAAAGGCACCCGGTTCGAATCCACCAGTTGCTCCACAGGAGTAAGCTGGGCCGTCTCCTCCTGAGAGATTTATTGCCTGTGAGAACCCGCTGGAGGCTCAGCTAGGAGTCAGTTTCGACTCAGCAGCATATAACAGCAACAGTAGGGAAAGTGAGATGGTCTTTTGGGAAATTTGCAGACTGTTCTCGATGTAGGTCTTGCAGATATTAAGTAGAATGACCTTCATAATGTAGGATGGACCCTGACAGGGGGCTGGACTTTAGATCGTCTCATCCCTGGGAGCTCGGTGCTGTCTAGGCCGGTGTGTGATCAAAACCCATTCACTCATCTCGTGTCTCTATTCTCACTGCCCCACTTCAGACACATGAGCATCTGTCTCTCCCTCACCCTGTGTCCTGTCCTTCCCATTACTGACCCGCCTCAGGCCCTCTGTCTCCTGCCACCCCGCTCACTGACCTGCCTCAAGTTCTCTGTCCTCTTTGACACTTAAGAGGACACCTTGTCCCCTGCCACTCCCCTCACTGACCTGCCTTGAACCCTCTGTCCTCTGCCGTTCCTAGTCCACTCTGGGCTTCACCCACCTCAGAACCTTTATCTTGTTTCCTTCACCTGGAGGAGCTTCCTCTGCTATGGCCTCAGGGTCACCTTTCAAGGACATTCCCGGCACCTTATTGAAATGAAAAGTAAACAACCTAAATTTAAAAAAAGGAAGAAGAAAAAAAAGAAAAAAAAAGTAGTCTTCTAGGGGATCTCTGGTGGCCTAGTGGCAAGGAGCTGCAGCTGCAATCCCAGAGGCGCACGGTTTGAATCCACCAGATGCTCTGCCGGGGAAGGAGGGGCAATCTCCTGTACCAGTCAGATCTGATTTGACGGTACACTCACACAAAAATAATAAAATTTAAAAAAAAAAAAGTAGTCTTCCCTGCCATCTCACCCACGTACCTTTTTTCGCGCTTCCCTTATCAGTGGATATCATTTCTGACTCATGTCTGTCTGCTGTAAATAAGCTTCCTGAGGGACAAGGCCTCTGTGTGGTTCTCTGTGGGGTGTTTAGCGTCTCTCCCGTGTCTGGCATGTGTCTAGATAATCCGTGACGGGTCATAGGTAATTAGTCCACGCGGAAGGACTTCTCATGTCTCTATGAAATGGTCAGGGGCAGAGTGTTAACTGGCATATGCTCCTTAGTTTTGAGCAACAGAACCTGCTCAGTGGGTGATCAAGCTGGTCATTGGTTCTCTAGGTGAACTGTGTTTTGGCATCTGCAGGAAATGAACTTGACGTAGAAAGTACAGCTGGAAACAGGAAAGTCAGACCCAAGCCATTGAAGCACTTGGCTAGGGGGCAGGAACCCTGAGAACTGGGGTACTCACAGTGCGTCCCCAGCGGCCACACTGCTGCAGGAGTGGTGTCCAGGGCAGAGTGACATCAGTGGGGAAGGGGGCCACTCGGGCTGGGAGCAGGCCCGCTCACCGTGTCTCTGTCCACAGGCCTCTGGCCTACAGCACGCTGGCCGACCTGGTCCACCACGTGCGCCAGCACCTGCCCCTGGGAGACCTCTCCCTGGCCGTCCAGCTCTTCGCCAAGAACATCGACGACGAGTCCCTGCCCAGCAGCATCCAAACCATGTCCTGCAAGCTCCTCCTGAACCTGGTGGACTGCATCCGCTCCAAGAGCGAGCAGGAGAGCGGCAACGGCAGGGACGTCCTCATGCGCATGCTCGAGGTACGGGAAGCTTCCGGAAGCTCCGGCGCGGGTTCTAGAATGTTCCCCAGTGCTGGGACCGCAGCTGCTCTGTGTGCCTCGTCCCCGGGTGACTGGGCGAGGCTGTGTCGGCGAGTTCACGACCGGGCTGCCCGCAGCTGACAAGCACCAATTACCAATACAGGGGCTCACCCTCTCAGCTCCCTCCCTCACTGGCCCACGGCCCTTAAACGGGGTGCTCCATCTCTTCACTAGTTATTGATAATTGTAGCATCTGCCCCTGTTTATCGGGGGTCAAGTAAGTAACCCACAAAACTGATAACTGAGTTGCTGGCCGGATGTGGGGATCCAGCAGCTCTCTGAGTCCCGACAGTTCTGGAGAGACCCTCAGCCGGGGGTCTGCAGAAGGAACGGTTCATTCAGTTCCTCAGTTCCACCCGTCATGGTTTCAAATCTCCACTCTGCTCTCCAGGCATTGCCATCTCGCCCTTCGTGAGTGTGTGTGTGTGTGTGGGGGGCTGGTGTTACTCACTATGGTGACTTTGGGGAGACTGGGGAGAAATGGACGCTTTTCCCTGGTGCCTACACTTCGTCTCCAGAGCAGCTGTGGGGGCGGAGTCCTGAGGGGCTATGCTGTCAGCACAAAGGCAGCGTCTCTGGTTGGAATCCACCTTCTCCAGAGGAAGGTGGGCGGTCTCCTCCCGTGTGACTCCATGGCCTTCGCAGCCCGCTGCACGGTCAGCTGTGAGTCAGATCTGACTCCACAGCGTGGAGGCTTTAGGGGTTTTATAATTAATCACAGACAGCTGTGGTGATGTCACATGGCCTTATGTGTAGGCATCAGGCTGCTAACTGTGAGGTTGACAGTTCTAATCTGCCAGTGGCTCTGATGGAGAAAGATGGGCAGTTCTCTCTCATAAGACTTCCAGAGGCGGGTTTGGTGTGCACTTTACCTGGTGCAGAGGAGGTGCTGGGACGTGGCCCGCCCCCCGCCTCTTGTTAGAACAAGGTCCCGCATGTCAGCAGGTTGGCACAGTGAGGGTTTCTTTCTCTCACCTGGGGTCGCCAGCCCTCTTGCTGAGGTGCGATCTTACTGTCCCCTTTGCGTCCTGTCCCTGCCAGGTGTTTGTGCTCAAGTTCCACACCATCGCCCGCTACCAGCTCTCTGCCATCTTTAAGAAGTGCAAGCCGCAGTCGGAGCTCGGGGCCGTGGAAGCCTCGCTGCCCGGGGTGCCCACCGCCCCCGCCGCGCCGGGCCCTGCCCCCTCCCCAGCCCCGGTTCCAACGCCTGCCCCGCCCCCACCCCCACCTCCTACCCCTGCCACCCCCGTGACCCCCGCGCCGGTGCCCCCCTTCGAGAAGCAAGGCGAGAAGGACAAGGAAGACAAACAGACCTTCCAGGTGACGGACTGCCGGAGCCTGGTGAAGACCTTGGTCTGCGGGGTGAAGACCATCACGTGGGGCATCACGTCGTGCAAGGCACCTGGTGGTAATTCTCTCTCGGCTCTAGTCGTTGGTGTGAAACCTGGGGGAGGTGGAGGTGGTCGGGTTGAGTTAACCTATGGTCTCTCTTTCAGAAGCTCAGTTCATTCCCAACAAGCAGCTGCAGCCCAAAGAGACTCAGATTTACATAAAACTTGTGAAATACGCAATGCAGGCGTTGGATATTTACCAGGTAAGGCCACGCCGGGTGTGCCAAGCACCTCTCCGAATGAAGGGCTGGTGGTGGGACGGGCCTCCTACCTGTGCGCTCTACACCTGGCCCAGGGCTGCGTCTCCAGGTTTGCGTTTGTCCTTACGAGCTCATTTGTGGTTTGGGGGAGGTTGGGTGGGGGATTGTGGAAATGGAACACGGGCAGTTAGAAGGTTTGTAGTGGTGGTGGTGGTGTAGTTTTATACAGTTTAGTCAGAATTGACTCAGCTGACCCTCCAGTGGGCTCTGACGCATCATTTAGCTCGGGGAGTTTGCCCGTCTTTCTCCCATTAAGTTTCTATAAGAGATTGTTTTTAAAACCTTCCAAAATTTAGGAGGGAAAAAGCCACTGCTGTTAATTCTGAGAGACTAGAGGTTTTGCTGCTCTGGGAGTCCTGCAGCTGTTTGATGCTCTTTAAAGACTATGACAGGTACCTGAATATGCCCTGGGATCGGTTCAGAGTTCACCACAAAGGACCTTTTCCTTCCCCTCCTGCACAGGTCCAGATAGCAGGAAACGGACAGACCTACATCCGCGTTGCAAACTGCCAGACGGTGCGCATGAAAGAGGAGAAGGAGGTGCTGGAGCACTTTGCAGGGGTGTTCACCATGATGAACCCCTTGACCTTCAAGGAGATCTTCCAGACCACGGTCCCCTACATGGTAGAGCGAATCTCCAAAAACTACGCCCTGCAGGTAGCATTTCTCAAATCGGCATTTATATACTCTGAATATTACACATTCTGAATGTCTGCGTTCAGGTGTTGGTGCTGATACTACATTTATTTGAAGGGTGTTTGTTTAGTAACGCTCCTGGGAATGTAGTTGTAAAGCAAAATTGAGAGAACCGTCAGGTCACGGTGTTAATAAGGAAAAGAGAGATTTCAAAAGATCAGGACGCTTTGGGCCTTTTTCTGTGATTCAAACCGTCCTCCCGTCTTTGAGTCACTTCCCACCAAGGTGACCCTCTGTTGGGGTTTTGTTTTGTTTTGTTTTTCTCCATTGGGATTTGAAAGCTGTAAATCTTAGCAGACAACTCCATCTTTCTCCTGTGGAACAGCTGGTGGATTCGAACTGCCAACCTTTTCGTTAACAAGCCACACCTCCCACAGGGCTCATTTCTGTGGTAGTGGACATTAATAATGTGATAACTACAAGCTTTAATTGGGTTTTTTGTTTGGGTGTTTTGTGGGGTTTTTCCCTCCTTTTATTGTGTTTTAAGTGAAAGTTTACAAATCATGTTGGGTTTTTCATGTAATCATATCTCCTTTGAAGTCCCTCAACCAAATGGATTGACACGGTGACTGCTGCAGTGGGATCTTGTCTACCAGGAAGTGTGAGGATGGCACAGGATAGAACAGGGTTCAGATCTTTTGTTCACAGGGTCGCTACGAGTCCTACTTGATTCATCGGCACCTAACAACAAAACACAACAAAGATTTTGTTTTACAGCATTAATTATAATTAGTTAAGGTAAGTAATACAGGGAGCTCTAGTGGCCTAGTGGTAAGGAGCATCCCTGCCAACAACCCAAAGGACTGTGGTTCAAATCTACCATCTTCACGGGAGAAGGATGAAGCTTTAAGTCTCCTCTAGTGTGATGTCCTGCCTCTGAAAACTCTCTAAGAGGGTCAGCTACGGGTCAGCTGACAGCACATGACAACAAGAATCCATAATGAACCTCTTCTCCCAGCTTGATAAGTGTTTACATATTGACAGGCTCTACGGAGCCCTGGTGGCCTGGGCCAGCATGCTGTACCACTAACCTAAAGGTTATGCCATCTCCAGTGGTTCGAGTCCCCCAGCAGCTCCTAGGAAGAAAGATGGGTGGTCTCCTGTTAAAGTTCTTTTGGTTGGTTTTTTTTAAAATTTTTTTTATTTTTTAAATTTTATTTCATTGTTTTTTGTGTGTACCGTCAAATAAGATCTGACTGATACAGGAGGAGATTGTTCCTCCTTCTCCAGCAGAGCATCTGGTGGATTTGAACCGTGTACCTCCGAGATTGCAGTGCAGCTTCTTGCCACTAGGCCACCAGAGCTCGCCTCCTGTTAAAGTTTAAAACCTCAGAAACCCTACTGAGGATCGCTCTGATTCAAAACTGACTCAGTTCAGTGGTCTGGAATTTAGTTTCTGGCTTCCAGGCTTGTGGATGAAAGACCAGATGAAAGCTCTGTTAAGCTCTTTAAGTTGCTTGAACTAAATAAATACTCAGTTCAGTCCATGCTGAGTAAGTAGTGCCACTTCCCCCTTCCTCTGATGGAAGTTTAAAATTCTTACAGTGACAAGTTCGGTTAGATGTATTTTGGGGGGAAAAATCATTGCTTTATCATAAAGCTGTATTGGAGAAGAGGTTCTTTTTGTCACGTGCTTGCCTTGTTTTGACAGATTGTTGCCAATTCCTTCTTGGCGAATCCGACTACCTCCGCTCTGTTTGCTACCATCCTGGTGGAGTATCTCCTGGAGCGCCTGCCGGAGATGGGCTCCAACGTGGAGCTGTCCAACCTGTACCTCAAGCTCTTCAAGTTGGTCTTTGGCTCTGTCTCCCTCTTTGCAGCTGAAAATGAGCAAATGCTGAAGGTAAAGCTTGTGTAGAACCGTTGGGCTGTGCCGTGTGCTGTTGCTGGGGGCCCATGGAGCCAGGGCCAATTTGGCAGCCCCAGAAAATTGTTTCAGAGGGGTTCTGTTGTTGCTCAGTCCATTTTTGCTTTTGAACAGCAACACATTTTATAAAGTTCTCTTTGCCTTAATAAATCTTTGCAGTAAATATAACATGAATTTGCAGAAAACAGTCATGTGTTTCTAAGCAGAGGGTAGATTATCTGATAGTTTAAAATGAAAAAGTGAAATGTTTTTGTGGTTGGGAATATAAGATGTAATGAATATTATTTTGAGGTAAAGCGTTGTTAAGTTTTGCCACCAGTAGTCTGTCTTTCGTGTGAGTGTACCGTCAAATCAGATCTGACTGGTACAGGAGGAGATTGTCCCGCCTTTTCCAGCAGAGCATCTGGTGGATTCGAACCGTGAGCCTCTGGGAGTAGTCTGTCTTTCTTAAATGCCAAAAACATCATTTTCCTGATCATGTCAATGAAATAAGAGGACAACTTCCTTATTTTGAAAAAAACAAAATTTGAGGCTACAGGAGAGAAGGGGGACCGCCTTCACGTGCAGGTTGCTGGCTAACAGTGCCAGGCATCCTCTGTCTGCCCTCTTCAGTATTTTATTGTTGTTGTGTGTGTTCATATGCCTCATCCTTTTTTTAACATACTGTCACCAGTGTAGCTGGAGAGGAACCAGCCCAGCGAGCTGGTGCAAACCCACGTGTCTGTTAAGAGAAACCATTTGAGTCTAGTGACATGGTTCAGCCTGGTAAAAGCTAGAACATTCTTGGTTCCTTCGCTTTTCCACTTAGGAGAACTCCCCCCGCATTAGCTTTCGAGCCGGTGGGGCCTGAGGGAACCCCTGAAGGTATGTCTTGGGGGCACCCCTCGTCCCCAGCCCCCTAACCTGCCCTTCCTCCCGGCACAGCCTCACCTGCACAAGATTGTCAACAGTTCCATGGAGTTGGCACAGACCGCCAAGGAGCCCTACAACTACTTCCTGTTGCTGCGAGCACTGTTCCGCTCCATCGGGGGAGGCAGCCACGACCTCCTGTATCAGGAGTTCCTGCCTCTCCTCCCGAACCTCCTGCAAGGTGGGGCCTCGTGGTGTCCTGGGTGCACGTGCCCGGGGGTGGGGTGGGGTGGGGAGTGGTGGTGGTGTCAGCGTCTGTCCTTGGGGGTGGACCTGTGCAAAGGGGAGGATTTGTGTGCATGCCTGCCAGCCCCTCTGGTTCACTGCTGGCATGGCTGGGGTGGCCCTGCTCTTCCTGACTCCCGAGTTGAGTGGACATGGGAGGTTGTCGTTACCTAGTGAGAATGTGACTGCATTTTGTCGCACTTGGTGTTTTAGAGTTTCCAAGAGAAACAGAAGCACTGAGAGGTGTGTTAAAATCTTGAGAGATTGATTTACTTTAAGGATTGGCTCGCTCACTTGTAGACAAATGTTTTGTGCTGTTGAGTCGAAAACTGACTCATAGCTGACCCTCCAGCAGATTTTCAGAAATAGTTAAATGCACAGGAGGAGATTGCCCATCTTTCTTCCACAGAGAGAGCAGTTGGTGGAATCGAACTGTGTGCTTTTGGGATTGCAGCACGTTTTATTACCACTCAGCCGCTGGCCAGTCCGCATATGTAGGTTGGGAGACAGGCTGGAGACGTCTACCAGTTTGTGTTCCAGGACCTGTAGTTCAGGCAAAGGGGAGAGAGCAGCGTCTCAGGAAGGAGGAGGGGTGTGTGTGGGCAGGTCCCTGGGTCCCTCAGATCACTGAATGTCTGGAGGAGCTCTGAACTGGGGGATTACGTTATGGAAGATGATTATGTTATAGTCAAACCTGTCACATACGGTACCTTGTTAGAGGAGGAAAGTTTGAATATTTTCCACTGAGAAGGTGATAAACGGTGGTTAAGGCTGCACGCTGTCAGAGCTGGAAGACTTTCAAGAACCAGAACCCAAAGGCGAGCTCGTCAGTACTGGCTCTCTGTGACAGGTCCCCGTATGGGACAGCAGGTGCTCTAGGGTCGGCCAGACCAGTGGGAACCACCCATAGGTATAACCTGTCACCTTAGTGTTTCAAAGATCAGGAAGCCCTAGGTTGGAGGAGAAGGAGAAGAAAAGCAAGTTTATAAAGCCGATTTCTTCCTAGTTTATATTTTAATTTAGTCTCTCATCTCCACAACAGAATGGTATATAACTCTTGTATAATTAGGGCTGCTTTAAGATGGACAGTAGAAGGGGCCCTGGAGTCCATTGACTCTTGCTGCTGATTGATTGATTGTAAATTCCTTAAAGAGAAATTGCTTATAACATAGTTCTTGCTTTTTTTTTTTTTAAACATTTTGTGTGTGTGTACTCGAATCTGACTGGTACAAGGAGGAAATTGCCACTCCTTCTCCAGGAGAGCATCTGGTGGATTTGAACTGTGTACCTCTAGAATTGCAGTGCACCTTCTTGCCACTAGGCCACCAGAGCTCCCTTAAATTGTTTATAACATAGTATGTCCCGTGGGCACCTGGGAAATACTCAAACTTGGTGTGTGCACGGTGGCACCCAGGCCACCACGGATGGTGCTGTGTGCCAGATCAAGGTCCGCTTCCCTGTACCCCGTCTCCAGTTCTGCCCCCATCTCCCCACCCTCTAACTTCTTCCTCCTGCTTGCTCTCTGCTGCCCCCAAGCTATTTGTCCCATGTCATTTTGTTTGAGCCAGTGCCCTTCTGAGGCCCTGGCCGCCAGCACTCTTGTAAGCCCTCTGGCCCTCTGGGTTCTGAGCCCGGCTCTGCCCGGTGATGCCTGCTTCCCTGCAGCCCTGGTATTCTGCTGCATGTGCTGTGCCAGGTGCTCTGGGCCCTCACCTTTCTGGGTCCCTTATTTGACATGTCTCAGTACATACGTGATAACTCTGCATGAACTTTCTAAAAAGAACCCTTCCTTCTTTCCTTGAGTAACAATGTAAACAAAAACGAACCTGAAAAGTTTACTTTGGACCAGACCATCATTTACACAAATAACACACATAGTAAAGCTTTTACAAACCTCCCAGCCTCTTCAAAACATTCATTTCCTGGGCGCATGAAAAATGTCATAGGTTGGTGAGCTCTGGTGGCCTAGTGGCAGGAAACTGTACTGCAATCCCAGAGGTGCACGGTTCAAATCCACCAGATGCTCTGCTGAAGAAGGAGGAACAATCGCCTCCTGTACCAGTCAGATCCAATTTGACGGTACACATATAAAAAATAAAAAAAAATTAAAAAAATGTTATAGGTGCACGTGCATTATATGTGGGCACGTTAGAGAGGAGGAAAACAACCCCACTTTAACAGAGGTAAGGCTGCCAGTGTATACTCGAAGGGACCCTTTTGAAGACTTACATATAACATTGAAAGCTCACTAGTAGTCTGTCATCCTGAGTCTAAGGGCATAATGTTACCATTTAAATTATAATCGGTGATGATCGTGTGCGGCCCGCTGCCTACATTGTGACAGAACAGAGCAGTCACGGGAGGTGTAGCCGGGGTGGCCTGCCGCGAGGGGAAGCGGCGCCTTCCTTCACTGACCCTGGACGTGCACGGGTGGGCTGCCTGTGGCGGTGCCCCCTCCCGACAGCCTCCACGCCCCTCGCAGGACTGAACATGCTGCAGAGCGGCCTGCACAAACAGCACATGAAGGACCTGTTTGTGGAGCTGTGTCTCACGGTGCCCGTGCGGCTGAGCTCGCTCCTGCCCTACCTGCCCATGCTCATGGACCCGCTGGTGTCCGCGCTCAATGGCTCCCAGACCTTGGTCAGCCAGGGCCTGCGGACTCTGGAGCTGTGCGTGGACAACCTGCAGCCGGACTTCCTCTACGACCACATCCAGCCCGTCCGCGCTGAGCTCATGCAGGTGGGTCGGTGGGCGTCCCACGCTCTTCTCCCCATGGTGCTGACCCATAGAGGTGGGCCCCCTCGATCAGGGCTGGGTCTACAAGGTGAGCCCCCAGAATCAGTGCTGGGCCTTTGAGTTGGACCCTCCTTGACTTTGTGTTGTGCTTTTGAGGTGGGCCCCCAGTTTCAGTGCTGGACCCTGGAAGTGTGAACAGGGCCTCAATGTGAGTCCTCCGGCTCATGGCTAGGGATACAAATGAGCTTGTTTGCAGCGTCCACCTCTCACCCAGAGGGCATTTGCAGGGGTCACCAGTGAGGCGAGTCTGCGGAGTCACAGCTTTTGCAGGCCGGGGTTATGGTGACCAGACCAGAGCCCTGTATGAGGTGCCTGTGTGGTCTCTCTCGTGATGACGGACCCAAAACTCTGGGCACTTCCTCTCTGTCCTCTGTTGGTGTTACAGGACTGCTTTGGGAGCAGGGAGGGGATGCCTGTTAGTCACTTTTGAAAAGTCGTGGCATCTTTCTGGACAGGTTACAGGGCTTGAGTTCTGTTCTCCCCACCTTGGGGAATCTGCGTTTGAGGGACAGTGGTGGGAAGGAGGACTCTGGACAAGGAGCCCGTTCACGTTTTGACGTTTGGCCTGTGAGCCCCATGCAGCATCACCTGCTTGGGGTGCACTGACCAGGGTCTCACCCCCAGGCCCTGTGGCGTACGCTGAGGAACCCCGCAGACAGCATCTCCCATGTGGCCTACCGTGTCCTCGGCAAGTTTGGCGGCAGCAACCGGAAGATGCTGAAGGAGTCCCAGAAGCTGCACTACGTGGTGACGGAAGTCCAGGGACCGAGTATCACGGTGGAGTTTTCGGATTGTAAAGCTTCCCTCCAGCTCCCGATGGAGAAGGTGTGCAAGGCAGTTTTGGGGTGCTTCTTAAGAAGGCTGACTGTGGTATCTTCTTGAGTAGTGGATGTCCCTTTGTAAATGTGTAGTTGTAAACAGTGCATTTTTTAGGAGGGGCTTTCTGACTCGTTATAGAACAAGCTCTTTTGGGGTTCAGCTTGGCTCCAGGGGTGCTGTGGTAGTACCAGGACGCCGGTGGAGGGGTGTTGCCCTGAAGACCTGTGTCCCTTGACCATTCTAGCTCCCCTCCTGAGACCTGTACGTCCTGCTGTTCAGTCCTCTTCTCGAATGTCCCTCAGATCCAGTGTCCGTTCCATCTCCCGGTGCCCTTCTCCACCAACCCACAGCAGACGGGTTGATGACAGCCCCCAATGGGTTTTGTCTTTATACGAGGACATGCCTGTCGTCCTACTGAAGCGGCTGGTGCATTGGAAGTGCCCACTGTTTTGGTTGGCAGTCCCGCCTGCTGCCACAGGGCTCCAACCTGTTAGAATTCCCGACTTCCTGTGTAATAGGCCGTGTCCTGAGCATCCTGCGGGAGCGTTCAGCTGCTGCCTTTGCTGTGTCGTTGTTGACAGAACCCTGTTCTCCGCTGTTGACCTTGTTGGTCCCGCTCCTAGTCAGTTTCCTGCATGGCGGCGTTTTATTTCACGTGACCTGGTCTCTGTGGTTGAATCTCGTTTCCCCCCATGTTGTCAGGAGCGTTTTCTCCACGTTGTGTTAAACCTTCCCCCACCCACCTCATCACCACCCCATCCCCTGCAGTGAACAGAAACATACACCCCCATGCCACACCTCCCACCTTTGTAATTCAGTGATGTTAATTACATTTTTTCATACTGTGCCCCCATTATAACCATTTCCAGAATATTCTACCCCCATTAACAGAAACACAATGCCCGTTAAACAGAGACTTCTGGTACCTGTTGATTATCTTTGTTGTCAGCTGCTGTGGGGTTGCCTAGACTCACCGTGTTAACAGATCTGACCATTGCCCTGTCGTCTGTGCCATCCCCACCGTCTCTGATGTGCTGCGCTGTGGCAGTCACTGTGCCGTCTTGTTGAGAATCGCCTTTTCTTTCTCTGACCCTCCGCCTTTCTCAGCATGGTGTTCTTTTCTGAGGCCTGCTCCCTCCTGACAACATGCTGAAAGCGTGTGGGATGAGGTTTGGCCATCCTTGCCTCTAAGGAGCAGCCCAGTGGTGACTTCTCCCGGGCGGCCCTGCTTGCTGGCTCCTCCACATTTGTCCATTTCACATAATTGCAGTTAGAACACTGTCCGGTGGCGGACTCATTTTGCTCAGTGCGGTGTTCTTCACGTGCGTCCCTGTTACAGCGTGGGCAGCAGGACTCCCCGTCTCTTTACGGCTGGGAAGTACTCCTGCACAGTAATCCACGTGCCTGCTGATAGACACCAGTGGTTTCTACCTTTGGGCTGGGGCTGCGGTGGAGCCCTGGTGTTTCTGTGTCCACTCACTGCTCTTTGTGACGCGCAGGCCATCGAAACCGCTCTGGACTGCCTGAAGAGTGCCAACACCGAGCCCTACTACCGGCGGCAGGCGTGGGAGGTCATCAAGTGCTTCCTGGTGGCCATGATGAGCCTGGAGGACAATAAGCACGCGCTCTACCAGCTCCTGGCACACCCCAAGTAGGTGCTGGCCCCTCAGCGCTGGCCACAGAGGGCCTGCCGTGTCTGAGGGCTGGGGGCCGTGCATCACGTCAGGCACTTGGTTTGCCTGCTCCTGCTTCTCTTGGCTTTTTAGAGAATTCATTCTTGTCTCACTTACAACCTAAGAAGGCTGGGTAGGAGTGTGGTAGAGGAAGTGTTCAAGCTGAGAGCAAATAACCTCCCACCTCGAGTTGTCACTCTGGTGACAGCTGACTTGGGATCGAGGTTGGGGTTGTTGGTAAGAATAGAATGTTAAGTTGGGGGCAGGGCACAGGAAGGGGACATTTGTACATGGGAGGTTGGAGAGGTCTCCGATTTGTGGGTGACACAGCGCGGGATCCCAGTGGACATGAGTGTGTTTCATTGAGAGAATATACTCCTAACCCCAGTGTGTGGGAATAGGGCTGCGCTCCGCAGGGCTTCAGCGGCTGACTTTTCAGCCGTAGATCTTTTTCTTCTGAAATGTCTCTGGGTGTACTTGAACCTCCGACCTTTCGGTTAGCAGCTAAACATCATCCAGGAATTCCAGTCCCGTACGCTCACTGGTGGTAAATGCTTCATCAGTTATATCCACAGTCCACTTGAGTCTCTTCTCAGGGTGGTTTTTTGGTGTCTATCACAGTGCCACTGCTGGTGGGATAATGAATTACTCCTTAGGCTTGGCTGCTTAATTAACAAAGATCTAAACGATACATCTGCTTTTCTTTTTTATTTTTTTTC